ACTAAGTAAACTACTAAAAGACATCTGCCCCCCCAACCACGAGCCTTATGGCTCAAACGCCTAAACTCCCATAAAGCCAGACCCACCTTGCGAAAACGGTGACATGGGATAAGGGGAGGAGACCATCGAGGCCCCGCTAAACCCCAGAGCCGTCGGACACTGTTCGGAGGCCACGCAGCGCAAATGAAATAAGAGAGCACCACCCGGGAGGTGGCAGGGTGTCTTGAGGCTGACCAGCCAAAGAAGCGCCTGCCCGAAACCAGATGCAGAAAGTTAGCGGCGCTGCAATCCGCTACAATAGCGGTCGCAAGCACGAGGAAATAGCGGTGGGTGCAGGTCTTCGAACCCTAGGGCTCGGTGGTGTCAATTCACCATAAATCCCCCAAAAGGAGGAACAACCCCACCCACAGCGATTATCCGACACCCGAAGGGTCCCGGTTGAAGCCAAACGCCGTGGGGTTGTACATTCCGACGCAATATCCCCGAGTAATGCACGGAGTAGCGATCGCGACAGCGAAAGAGAATATGCTGGCGAGACTGCAAAGCAGCCCCGCAAGTGCAGCCGTGAGGCTCATTGATCTTGAAGCGACAATAATACGCTCCAATGGGCGCATGGCCAGTTATACACCGGCAAACGCGGGCGAACTGGGGCGATCTATGTTGAAGGTCACCTCCATCGTCCACGCCTACGACGGTTTGTTGTTGGTCACCCCCGCTGTTGCCAGCCCGTCCGACTTGGACGTACTGCGCAACTTGATTCGCGAAAGCCTTCCAACGGGTACCCCGTTCGAGGTTGCGCTCCCATCATCGACGTCTTTCATAAAGATCCTCGACGTTCCCTACTTCGATCCGAAAGGGTTGAAGATCACCCAGGAGGCGCTTGAAAAGGCCCTCCGTACCTCGGTTCACACTGAGGTTTTCGCATATCTGAGCACCAAGCCTCGGATCGACCGCAACTCGGCGCACTCGACATCGTGCACCGTATATTGCAACATTTGGGACTCCCAACAAGGAACCCACGCCAAGAAGGCCTTAGGCCAACCGATCTTCCTCGCTGGGTGGTCCTGCGCAATCAGGCCCGCTGCACGTCACACTGGGGTCCCACTATGCCAGCGCTGCTGGAAGTGGGGCCACCCCACTGTCGCCTGCAAGGCGAAACAACTCTCTTGCCCCATCTGTTCGGGTCCGCACAAGCAGAAGGAGCACCGCCAACATGCGGGATGTTGCAAGGGCAACACGAAAGCGAAACCCCCTGTGCTGCCCACCCCTCGCGACCAGCCTTGCCCCCATAAGGGCCGCTGTGTCAATTGCCACAAGGACCATGCCGCCAACTCGGCTTCGTGCAAGTTCTGGGCTCATCGCTACGACCGTGAGTGGATCATGGCCGAGTATCGTCAAGTATGTGAGCTTGCTGCTCGCCGCCAACTTACTAACCCCCGAACCTAGACTAATGTTGGGAAACCAGCAGGATCTAAATAGCGGGCTACGTATTTACTGTCAGAATGTTCGTCATACTTATGCACACATAGACACTCTCCTCGAAATTTGTAAAAACAGATTTGATATTTTATTTTTCCAAGAAACCCCTTGGAATTTCATAAGGCACGCACCGTCCACCACTAGTATGGAGGGCGATGAGGTTATCGGCGCACCAAAGCATCCCGATTGGCTGCAAATGGTACGCATTAAGGAAGGGGAAGTTCCCCGCGTGATTGCCTATGTTTCGACTAGGCTCTCCCGCTATCGTCCCGCTATGCGTTGCGACATCCTCATCCTCTCCCTCTTCAGTGGGGGTGAGGTTCTTAATCTGATGAACATCTACTCCGACGATCAACACACAGCCATTGAGCACCTCGCTGCTCGTGTGCGTTCCTTACCACCTTTCATCTATATGGCTGGTGACTTCAACTGCGTGTCGACGACTTGGGATGACTATGAGCATGGTGAGTCGTCGACGGCAATATCACTGCGGGATTCCGCATCTCAGATCGGCCTCGAGTGGGCACGACCTTCTAACCATGGACCGACGCGGATCAGTCCTAATCCAAACCAGAGATCCAACGTCTTGGATCTTGTATTCTTAGCTCCATCTGAGATTCTAATCTCGATGCCCAGATTGGAGCACGATCTCCAGGGTCCATCAGATTATGTCCCGATCTGTACAGATCTTGATATTGGTCCCGAACCACCCGGATCTGGGCGACGGACAATTAAACCCGGAAGTGAGGCTGAAAAGTCTTTCATTTCGGATATTCTCCGGGATCTTACGGCTATTCCTGTCGCAGCCCCGGCAACCAAGGAAGGCGTTGAAGCTTTAGCTGATGCTATTGCGACTGCGTTCTCGGACGCATGGCTTGTTCATTCGACCGAGTCCAAACCTACCAAGCGCTCCAAGTCCTGGTGGACGGACGAGTGCTCGGATACATTCAGCGTATATCAGTTGAGCCGCTCGCTCGCTGATTACAACAAGTTTAAGAAGGCGTGTAAGGTCGCCAAACGTGATTTCTTCGATGAACGTATCGCGGAGATTGCTACTTCTTGCAAGCGCCCGTGGGACCTAATGGAATGGGTCAAACAGCGCAAGCTACCAGCCTGTGAGGCTATTCGCAATGGCGACCAGCCTTGTCATGATATGGACGACCTCTGGGACGCCCTCCACGGCACTTACAACTTGGCCTCTGGTCGCGAGTACGATGCCTCAGTCTTAGACGAGCTTCCCGACGAGCCGGTCCGCGAGTGGGCTGACTTCTCGGAGCATGAGTTGTTGAGTGCCCTTAAGGGGTGCTCCAACTCCTCTGCACCAGGACCGGACCATATCACATGGGTCCACCTAAAGGAGCTGCTCAAGGATAAACACATCCTCGCGCTCTTCATCGTGTTGGCCAACGCTTGCCTTCGGGTGGGTCATTGGCCACGTATATTCAAGGAGTCGCTATCGGTCATCGTTCCGAAGCCGAACAAGCCCTCCTATTCCATACCGAAGGCCTTCAGGCCGGTCGTACTCCTCATCACTTTTGGTAAACTTATCGAAAAGATGATTGCCAACAGGATACAGTTTGACGCCGTCAAGCATGATATCTTCCATCCCAACCAACTTGGCGGCATCCGCCAGAGGTCAACTGAGGATGCTGGATTGATTCTGACTCATCTCGTGTGAGCGGGGTGGGTTAAGGGTCTCCAGACTAGCGCGCTGGCTTTTGACATCGCGCAGTTCTTCCCTTCTATCAACCATGAGATGTTCATGGCTGTTCTTCGCAAGCAAGGGTTCTCGCCAGTTTTGGTGGAATTCTTTGCCTCTTATCTTGTTGGTTGGTCCACAGTCTACTGTTGGAACACCTTCCAATCCGACTCACGGTCTGCGGATGTGGGTGTCGGGCAGGGCTCAGCTCTCTCGCCTGTCATCTCTGGGCTGTTCATTGCTCCGGTAATGAAGCTCTTTTACATCAAAGCGGTGCCGCTCAACATGATGCTGCTGTCCTTTGTGGATGATGGGACCATCTTGGCCCAATCCAAACAGCTTGATGATAATAATGTGGGCCTGCGTAAGGCCTACAAGATTATCTACCTTCTTTTTGTCGCCTTCGCGCTCGTTCTTGAACACGACAAGACCGAGCTGTTTCACTTTTCGCGTCGCCGAGACGCCTACAATCCCTCGCTGGATTTGGGGTACGCCCCTCATACCGGCGCCACACCTTTGAAACCTAAGACCTATTGGAGGTACTTGGGCTTCTACTTTGACCGCGGGCTCACGTTCCATGAGCACGTTCGCTACTATGCCACTAAGGTGTTTACCACCGTGCAGGCCATGCGCATGCTCGGGAACTCTACTAGAGGTCGTTTCGCACCTCACCCACAGGCGGTCTTGAGGCCCTTGCTGGCCTCATCCCCGTCCATCTCATGCTGAAGAAGTTGGCAACGTGCGCAGTGTATCGCATCGCTACCCTCTCAGACACTCACCCCCTTCGCTCTATGATGGGCGAGGGACTCCTCAAGCGAGCTGCACCACACGCTCGCTCTGCCGCCTTGATGACCCCAGCTATGCGAGGGAAAGTCAAGAGCACTGTCATGGAGGTGGACGAACGCGTCCACACCTTAAGTGAGAGCTTTGAGCCCTTTGCGCCCGAAGCTCGCCCAGGTGACCGGTTACTGGACCGCTATGCGGACCGTCTCCATTTTGACGAGCGTGATCCTGGCCAGGATAGGCGCCCATATCTAGACGAGCTCATCACGAAAGCGAGGGCCGACCCACTAACAGTACTGGCTGCAACTGATGGCTCTGTCCCTCAGTCCAACCAGTATCAGGCGGCTTCGGCTGCTATAATCTACAAGGGACATCGCGAGCTCGAGAGGACCCGCTATGTCTCTGGCAGAGTTACTGCCCCAGATGCGGAACTCAATGCCATCTCGTGCGCAGTGCGCCTTGCTGTCAAGCAGGCAAACTGCCAGCATATTATGGTCTTTACTGACTCTATGGGCTCGGCCCATAGAGCGGTTGACCCCGGCGTGCATTCCGGTCAGGCTTTTAGTCTGTCAGTATGTCGCGCTCTTCAAGAGTGGTTTGAGGCGGATGATCTCCGTCGCATTACCTTCGTCTACGTCCCTTCTGCTATGCGGTGGGGCATTCATGGTGAGGCACACAAGTACGTCACCGAGCTTAAAGTCAGGGTTGGACGTCGCAAGACAGACAACTCTATAGACGCGCTACGCTCCCGAGCGCGCACTCAGTTCTGGACTCGTGGAATTCCACTTTCCAGGATCCAACCTACTGAGGCTCTGAATTCTTGGAGCTCCAACAGCCTGACGGGCGGCCGCTACAGCCATCATACCTCAATGGGGGACCTTGGCTTTCAACTTTCGGACACAGTATCACTGAGTTTGCCCGCGTTTGCCAGTGCATAACTGGCCACGCGCCCATTGGAGTGTATTACCGTCGCTTCAAGATCAATGAGCCTCATGGCTGCACTTGCGGGGCTGCTTTGCAGTCTCGCCAGCATATCCTCTTTCGCTGTCGCGATAGATATTCTGTACACTATCCCCGTTTTCTCGGGGATATTGCATCGTTTATGAAGTACAACCCTACGGTGTTTGGCTTCAACTGGGACCCTTCGGGGGTCGGATAGTCGCGCTCGTTCTTGAACACGACAAGA